ATGAGTACTGCGGCAACGTAGTTGGGCCGCCACTTAATGTGTTTTGCATACTAATTAGGCTGTTTGGCGGCTCCCCCTCACAATTTCAAGTGTTGTAACAGGTGACAGAAAAAAATAAAAATACAGTGCAAAAATAAAAAAAAACAGTGCAAAATGCGGGAACAACAGAAGGTGCCACAGAGCCACAGAGCCACAGCCTCGAAAGTACGAGGAGTAGCTGCCACTGCAGCTGCAGCACCAACTGCACTTGAAGCTAACACTTTTGAGCCTCTGCAGTGGAGGAATTGTGGCTGCAAATTGCTCCGCCTCGGCTTGAGGGGATTATGGAATGCGCTACTTGGTATGGAGGGTATTTGTCTAATTAGCGGCGAAGAGGAAGTCATTTAGGCAGGGCGGATATGAGCAGATTGAGGATTCTTGAGAGGAGAACTAAAGTTAGAATGCTGAAGAGTAAAGGAAAAAATTTGTATTACATTTTTGGTTTCAATCATAAACATTCAGAAATATTAATGAAATATTAAAAGAACAAATTCCATTTGCAATTTACGTTAGAAGTTTCTTTAATGCTCTCGTGGGCTATCCTTTGCCTCGCGCTGAATCAAATAAAAAAAAAAATAGTCTCTGGCGTAACCAAAGCAAATAAATTTCTTGGGCATATGTCACAAAGATAACAAATAGTTTCCCCATAAGTAGAGATAGAGAAACGCCTCCAAACTTATCAGCTAAGTGGCGCCCCACAATTTAATGCCAAAATAATAGCCATTTTAGAATGGTCAATGAATTATGGCTTATCAATGAACTTAATAAGTCGGCCAAGAGCCTCACAGCAATCAAAGTGCTTCAGGTTTTGTTTACCCAAGCGATAAAGCATATCAATCAAATGAAAGTGTGCACCGATTACGATTCGCAGGTGGTAACCAAATTATACGAGTATTTTAAAGATAAGATAAGAAACACTTGGAAGTGACTTGAATTGGAATATTGGAATGGTAAATGCATAAATTTAAATATTTCTAGCATTAATTAGATACACAAAATATTTTGCATTAATTTCTTTAATGAGAAAAAATAGAAACAAAAAAAATGGCAGCACACTTTTGATGTAAAATAACTAAGCAAAAAAAAAGTATTAAGCAATAGATTTTGTCTAAGTTTCAAAGCAGGTGCTTTCAGCTGTCTGTTATGCCTACAATCTAGACTCATCCTGCGTCTTGAAAAAAAGAGATGACAGGGCCTGGGCTGGCTTTCTATGTAAGTGCTGCTAAAACTTGTACGCAAAAGCAAAGCAAAGCCAGAAAAAAAATATATTACGCCGTAAAGTGAAAAATGTTTTAATTACACATTCCAAGGCGAAATCCCCCCACCCAACCCCCCCCTGACGATTGATGGCAAAGCTAAGAGAGCGTTTTGAAAGGGCTAACAAGAGTGAGGTCAAGATGGGGAGATAAAGTCAAAAAAAAATTCGATGGGGAAAATGATGCAAAAAATGCTGTGAAAATTCTAAATATATTTTAAAATATATTTTAAATATATATTACAAGGTGCATCTCCATGATGGGCCACCAAACACCAGGGATTATTCGACAAAGGTTCTTTTAGCGAATTGTTGTTGCCACACTCGAATGCATTCGTTTTGCTGCTGCTGCTGATGCTGCTGCCACTGCCGCGTTGTGTGCTAAATAGTTCCCCCAGGGCCAAATCCACTTGAGTCGTGTGCTAATGAGAACACCCAAGCGACAACGACAGCCCAAAGGAAACAGAGCCCAGACACCATGCAAGGGGCTGGGGCGGGGATTGGAGGGGAGGAGCTGCATTATGCAAATACAAGGCGAAACAATTTTTTCTACTGCAACGCTAGAGTGGAGTGGCGTGGCGTGGCATGACGGACTGCTGTGGAGTGGAGAGGAGTGGCAGGAGTGGCAGAAGTCCTTAGCCAGAGCCTGAAGCAATGCAGCGTGTTCCATTTGCACACATTTCGACAAGGCAATTAATTATGCTAAATTCGTTTAGAGAACAGAGGCAACAGCTCCACGGTTACAATAGGCAGGCAATGTCCTCGGGCGCATTGTTTCCAGTATATTCTGCAATTTTCGCTCATTAAAGAAAGACTTTTGGACGAAGTTTAAGTATTGTTTCAATATGTTGTTAGACAAAGAAACTAAAAAAGATTCTGATGCACAGATGTGTATTTTATATATCTATTTAAATATATTTTGTGTTGGAATTTATTTTTAGATTAAATATTTTTAAATCCTGCCCTCCTCACCTTCTCAATCTTTACTTCATCTTTGGTTTTCGTTGGCAATCATCCCTGAAAATGTTATGACCGGCACAACCTTTGACCAGCGCATTGGATGACTTTTAAGTGGGTTCTCAGAGGTCCTAAACAAGGGGTGGGGCATGGCTGGCCCATGCGCAATTAATTGCAAAAGTGTTTGCGGACAAATGGCGCACAGCCAGGACCCTGGACCCTGGACCAAACCCAACACGTGTGGGTGCCCTCTGAACCCCAAAGCTTGGACATGGTCATGGTAGGACGACACACAGGGCATTTCTTTTTGCCAGCTCGAATGCCATCATGGATGTGCTTCAAGTGGCACAGAGTGTGAGAGAGAGCGGGGGAGGGAGTGGGCCAGCTCTTTGCTTTGAGGTTATTTACTTTTAATGACTCGCAAACTACACACTCACACACACACACAACACACACGCATACGCAACACACTCTTACGAGTGTGTGCCACATGGCGTATGCGTCATGTGTCGTGTTCTGTGGAGTGCTTAAGTGTTTTCAGATATCGCGCATCAGTAGCCAACGTCAGCCATCCAGGCACACACACACACAGGACCCCCCTCCCGTGCCACCATGCCACATGCCTCTTGCCCCATGGTTTGTTGACTTTTAGACGCTGTTTGTTTGTCAGCACAATTTTTGTTGTTTTTCCATACACATTTTATGCCCGTTAGACGCGTGGAGTATATAGGATTTGTGGCTTGGTATGCGACAGGCGGAAGGGGAAGCCATGTCCCTCGATAAAACGGAAATTTGCTTATCGTGCCGTAAAATATGGTAAAAGATTGTCGTTGTGTCTTATAATATTTACTGAATATAATTTTTTTGCTTAAATATTTTATAATATTTTTACAATAATTTATTTATTTATTATTATTTATTTAATAATATTTATATTTATTATTTATTATTTATTTATTTATTAATATTTATATTTATTATATAATTTTTAATAGCTACCGCATATAATTTTTTTGTTTATATTTTAAATATATATTAATAAAATATATTTTCCAAAATAAATCCTATAAATCCCACAACAAAAATTAAAAACTATTATTAATTTTTTTATTAAATAATTCCCCACTGGGAGGTATCTTATCGTCGTGAAATATGGACCAGGCCGCTCTGGCTGGGTTTTGTTTTTGTTGTACTTTTTGGCTTTTCATCTTGGCATCAGCGGCTCGGCTGCGGCTGCGGCTCAGACAAGCGGCCAGGACTTGCCAGGCCAAGCTGGGCCACATAAATGAGCTTTGAAGTTTGCATACGAACGGCGAGTGCATGGAATGCATTCTGCGCCAATGGCTGAGGGGGCTGCGGGGTTGGATGATGATGATGGATAATGCGGTGCAATTATAGACAGAGCCCAGAGAGCCGCCTCCGCCTCCGCCTCCGCCCGCCCTATCCTTGAAAATAAATTGTTTTGTTAATTATTTATGGTTGGTTTAATGAGTGTGTGCCATACTCTCAGTGTGTTTACTGTACTGGCTGCGCTCTCGCTCGCTCGCTCCCTCTGCCTCGCTGTGCCGCCATATTCATGGGTTTGTTATACTTTTGCATTTTGCAATTATTTTAATGAGTTTTGCATTTAAGCGATTTCGTGCCATGCAATCATCAACGTTGGCAATACAACATAGTGTTGGATGGCTAAAATAAAAAAAAGGAATATAATTGCCGTTTTTGCTTCATTAAAAATATAAAATCAGTGCGCGGCAGACTTGTCTCATTAAAATGTCTCGAAAAATAAGGAATATATTCTAAGAAAGGAGTTGTCTAAGCTAAGTGGGGATGAGCCTTTGTATTTACGGTTTAGCTGCTTTCAGACGCTTTTAGATGCTGCACATAAAACGCACAACAAAATATATATGATAATATAATATAAAATATAAATATATGAACATATTTTGCATCTAAATTATTATTAGTTATTTTATTATTATTTTATTTGACTTCTTAGGCAAAGGAATGGGGCATATATGCGGAAATAGGGATTCAAGGGATATATATACGTATACTCATATATTATATTTTTTATATATATATATATATAATATAATATAATATATACATACATAATAATTATTTAATTATAATAATAATTAATTTGAATATTATTACATAATTTATTAAAGTTAATCTTCATAAATTAATAATATAATATATGTATATATAACAATATATAATAATACCTAAATATATCGATAAGAAAGGGATCTACCGAACGATTCAGTGGTCTAATATCTGCAGTCTTTTTTTTATATTCACCAATATTAAAGGTCCTATTTTAGGGTTATTTTTGGAAGTTCAAAACAACCTCCCACACTCCCGCTTAAAATAAACCCTTGTATTCCCTGCTCTATTGGTTGAAACTAGTACGAGAATTATGACCTTATGTGCATAAAGATTAGCCACAATTCCTTGGTACAAATTAATAAACACAAACTTATTTGGTGATCGATTGCCCACACAGATTAGAAACCCATCCAGCTACCCACCCCCCCTTACGCCATGGATTTCGAACTTGAACTTCGGTAATGAAAGTATTTCGTATTTCGCTAAGCTATTGCTTATCTTTAGTGGGTTTATGGGGCTACGCGCTAAGCCGCTGGCCTCTTCACTTGCCACAGCGATTGGGATTGCTTATCAAACTGTACCAGCGCGGATTCCTATAAAAGAAGTGCCGAATTTCCTAGGAAAGTCAGTTCTGTGCTCGATTCGAAACTGCGCGCGTGAAAACTCGAAAAAGAAATACAAAATGAAATACCTCAGCCTCGGCCTTGTGCTGTTCGCCGCCGCCCTGCTGCTGCACAACGTGAGACAATCTGCGGCTGCCTGTGGCTACGAGGTAATCGGAATAAAAAATACCAAAATAGTTTGAACGAAAGTGAAACATCGCACAAGTTGTGTTGCACTTAAACTAGAAATAGCAGGCCCCACTAAAGAATCCCCCCCACCACTTTGCTTGCAGTCTTGTCCCAAGACAAAGTCCAACATGATCAACATTCACATGGTGCCGCACTCCCACGACGATGTCGGCTGGCTCAAGACCGTGGATCAGTACTACTATGGCCACAAGAGCAACATACAGCACGCTGGAGTGCAGTACATCATCGACACAGTCATCTCGGAGCTGATCAAGGATCCCAAGCGTCGCTTCATCCAGGTGGAGACTTCGTTCTTTGCCAAATGGTGGCAGGAACAGTCGGAGACTGTCAAGCTGGTGGTCAAGAAATTGGTGAACGAGGGACGCTTTGAGTTCACGGGCGGAGCTTGGAGCATGAACGACGAGGCGGCAGTCAACTATCAGAGTGTGATCGATCAGTTCTCCCTGGGCTTGAAGTAAGTTTCAGTTCGGCGAGAAAGAAACCCATTTAACCAAATATTTTAGATGGTTGGATGAGACTTTTGGGGCCTGTGCCCGTCCCCGCATTGGCTGGCAGATCGATCCCTTTGGTCATTCACGTGAGCAGGCCTCGATCTTCGCCCAGATGGGCTACGACGGAGAGTTCTTTGCCCGCATGGATCACAGCGATAAGAACAATCGATTGGACAATCTGGCCATGGAAATGATTTGGGATGCCAGCGAGTCGCTGAGCAACGATGAGATCTTCACTGGCCTCCTCTACCGCCACTACTCGGCTCCGCCTGGCTACTGCTTTGACGTGCACTGCGGCGACGATCCCATCATCGACGCCAAGAGCTACGACAACAATGTGAAGTCGCGCGTGGATGACTTCCTCAGCTACGTTTCGAATGTGGCCAAGTACTACCGCTCCAATCACATCATGATACCCATGGGCGATGACTTCCAGTACGAAGACGCTCAGGTCAACTTCAAGAACATGGACAAGCTGATCAAGTAAGTGCTGCACACTAGTCCTCAGCTGTAGTCCCGAGACTCACTGCCCCATCTAGGTATGTCAACGCACGCCAGTCGGACGGCTCCACCTACAATCTGTTCTACTCCACCCCGGCCTGCTACCTGAACTCCGTGCACGAGGGCCTCCAGACTTGGCCCAACAAAACCGACGACTTCTTCCCCTACGCCAGTGACTCCAACAGCTTCTGGACCGGCTACTTCACCTCCCGACCCACCCAGAAGCGCTTCGAGCGGGACGGCAACCACATGCTGCAGACAGCCAAGCAGCTCAGTGTCTTCGCCGGACTCTCGAGCGAGCAGCAGAAGGAGGATCTGGACTACCTCCGCCAGATAATGGGAGTGATGCAGCACCACGATGCCATCACCGGAACGGAAAAGCAGGCGGTGTCCAACGACTACGATCGCCTGCTCTACGACGGCATCATCGGAGGCGCCAGCAATGCCCGGGATGCCCTGCGAGTGCTGACCAACCTGCCGGAGGGGGAGTTCGAGAGCTGCCTGCAGCTGAACATCAGCGAGTGCGCCTTCACCAAGGACGGTGCGGACAATGTGGTGGTGACCCTGTTCAACCCATTGGCCCACACCTCCTCCCAATATGTGCGAGTGCCCGTGAAGGAGGAGAGCTACCAGGTGACCGACGAGAAGGGACGCGTGGTGGCCTCTGAGGTAGTTCCAGTGGCCTGGCAGGTGCTGGCTCTGGAATACCGCCAGAATAACACTCAGCACGAGCTCGTGTTCAAGGCATCCGTGGAAAAGATCGCCAGCTACTACATCAAGAAGGTCGACAAGCCAGAAAGCAAGGAAATTGTCCTGCCCAAGGCTGCCAAAAAGTATGTGAAGCAAAACGAAAAGAACTTGGAGGTGCCCAAGCGGTTCAAGAAGGTCCATTCGATGAAGAAGGTCGAGACTCTCGACGAAGATGATTCCGAAACTGTGGTGCAGACGTCGCAGATCAAACTGGTGATCGATAATAACACGGGTCGCCTGAAGACCATTGAGATGAACGGAGTGTCCGAGAATATTGACCAGAACTTCGCCATTTATGAGACGTTGGAATCTGGAGCTTATGTCTTCCGTCAAAAGGAAGACGTAGAGCTGCAATTCTTGGAAGACAAAGTGGAGTTCACAGTTTACAATGGATCTTTGGTGAAGGAAGTGCACCAGCAGTTCAGCGAATGGATCTCCCAGGTCATTCGCATCTACGAGGGTGTCAACCGGGTGGAGTTCGAGTGGCTGGTCGGACCTATTCCCACCGACGAGGATACTGGAAGGGAAATCGTCACAATTTTCGATAGCAAAATCTCCTCGAATGGCGTCTTCTACACTGACTCCAATGGCCGCGAGATAATCAAGCGAGTAAAGGACAAGCGAGAGGACTTTAACCCTGATCTAGGCAGGCAGCCGATTAGTGGAAATTATTACCCAGTCGTCTCCCGCATTGCCCTGCAGGATGGCAACAAGCGTATTGCTCTGCTCAACGATCGTGCCCAGGGTGGAACCAGCATGCAGGATGGACAGCTGGAGCTCATGCTGCATCGTCGTCTCATTCGGGACGATGGCTATGGAGTGGGAGAAGCCCTGAACGAGCAGAAGTACGACAAGCCCCTCATTGCACGTGGAAAGGTCTACCTAATCCTCAACTCGGTGGAGGAATCGACGAAGGTGGAGCGTCTGGCCGAGAAGGAGATTCTCCTTCCCTTCTCCGTTTTCTTCAGCAAGGCAAGCAGTCAGAGTAGCAGCGCTGTGGCCAAGACGGTGCCCAGCTTCGACGACTTCCCCCAGTCGGTGCATCTCCTCACCCTGGAGCCCTTCACCGATGACGAGATTCTGCTGCGCGTGGAGAACTTCCTGGATCACACCGAGGGTAATGTGGTTAGCTTCAATATTCGGTCCATTTTCGATGCTTTGGGAGGTGTGGAGATCCGCGAGACCACATTGGATGGCAACTTGCCACTGAGCGAGATGAAGCGCTTCAAGTTCCACCACGATGCCTCTGGCCACAGTCCCGCAGAGGTGGAGTACTTCACGACGGCCCACAAGCCTCTGGCTGCTGCTGAGTCGCAGGAAGCATCGGACTTCAGCGTCACCCTGCACCCCATGCAAATTCGCACTTTTATCATCAAGAAGAAGTAATTCAGAGTTCCTCATTATGCAGTAAAATTGTAAAATATTTACACTAAAATAAAAAAACAATTAAAATATAAATTTAATGTTTCAAAACCTTTATCAAGACTTTAGAAAGCTTAATTGATTGCTTTTGTTAGAGAAAACCATGCTCTGAGATTCAGAGCTTTTGATGACTGCGGCAGGAAAAACGTCATTCATGGCATTCATTTTTGATTGGGATCCAGTGAAAGGAGCCGTAAAACATTAATATTTACACTTATATCTAAAAATGTTCATATGTATACCAATAGTGGAAGTTAAAATATGAAAGTTTTTTCTCTTACATTTTCACATTAAAATAAAATTAATTGATTTAAATATATTTCATATTTAAAAATTAATATTTTTACCATGATATATATTTTCTAAAATTTTAATATAATATATTTCCCCTACATTTTATTAATATTTTGATGACTATATATATTTGATTTCACTGGTTACATTTTTTTAAATATTTTTTTAAATTATTTAATTTAATTTCTTTTTACTATGCATGTAGTATCTTGGAATTGTCTTTCTTTTGAGAAGATTAAGTCCAAGCAAACTTCAATGATTTATATCATATAATTCTAATAGTTTCTGATATGTCCGCGGTTGCATAGACAATGAAAGGGAAATGACTTAATAAGAAACCATTTTGGGTTCAGAATGAAAGTACTTCCGCAGGCCGATTAAAGAAAAATTAAATAAATCTTCGAGTTAATAATTAAATAAATATATTTCGCTAAGATTTGCATACTTGTCGTCTGTTTCTAATAGGGAAGATAAATAAAAAACCGTATACAAAAAAAATAAAAAAATAAATATTGACAACCCCAGTCATTCCTCTATTTTTCTATCTCCTTCGAACAAGAACTCTGCCTATCTTCTATTGATAAATACAGCCACATGTGTGGCGCCAACAGATAGATTAACAGACTTAACTATGCCGAGATATGAATGCTTAGGCTAAGCCACAGATAATGGCATATAGATAATGGATACAATTTTTGTTTGACATTCAGTAATATTCCCAAATTAATACTGGCATTAATCAGTTATGTAAGTGTGTGCTAATACACCACTCCTTTAATGATAACTCCCTAGAATTGAGCTCAACCCACTCGACTCTCCCAACTGACCGCCAAATCAGGAACTCAACTTTGTTGCTGTGCGGCAACTGGGTCGGAATAAGTGCTTTGTTCGCAGCTTGTGGACTTCAGTACTCGTCTAGGGGCTAAGCTCTACACTGGTTCCATTTTTTTATAGCACACGCACTTTGAGAGGGCGTTCTGTTTTAAGTTTACACGTTATAATACACCTGAAAAAACTAAAATAAAAAAGAAATAACCAAATAAAAAATAAAAAAAAAAAATAAATAAAAAATTATCTAAACAAACAAATAAACAACATATTTAAAAAAGTTACTTAAAAAATTATATATAAAACAATATAAAATAAATAAATTTAAAAAAAAACTATAAAAATTAAATTTTAAATAATATAGATACTACAAAAAAAAACAAATAAAAAATAATAATATCAAAATAAAAAAAAAAATTTTAAAAATAATAATATTATATAAATAAATATCTTAATGAATTATCAATTATTAAAAAAAAAATAATAATATATATTGATATATAAAGATTAAAAAATTAGTACTGGAATTGGAACTAAAATCATCATACCAATAGTAGTACCACGATTAAGAGGGTTTTTGTAAATTTTGTGGCTCTGGGAAAGATTAATAAACAAAACAATATAAAACAACTAAAAGTATTGCGAAGGCAATCGATCACTTCCCGTACAAATTCATAAAAATTAACAATGTTTATGCATGCAATCAACAATTAAAATCATTATAGCCTCAAAACAGAAGCAAATATAGACAGATTGTTTAATATGGCGTCCAATTAAGATTAACCCTGTACTGAGGAGAGGTGACTGATGATTAGCACTGCTATATGATGGATTCTTTTGGCTACTTTGTACGGCTTGATGTTAGATACGACCAAACCGAGCCAGAGGTTATCTTTCAAATGCACCCACTTAATTGGTTTTTAAGCATCAATTCACTTTCGCTAATCCAAGATAAGGCCAAGTACTCGTTGCCTATCAACTCTCAGTTGATAACACACAACACAGTTCCCGCCTATAAAAAGGCAAATTACAAATGTGTGAAATTTAGTTGTGGGCTCGAGTTCGAGCCTTCTATTTCTTAGAGTCGGGTAGAGCCCTTTTTTATTTGGTCACAATGAAGTATTTCGGCTGTATTTTGATATTTGTTTTACTGTTGGCAATCGACACAAACCCAACCGAGGCTGTCTGTGGCTATGAGGTGATTGGAAGCGCTGACTTTTCGATGTCCAAATGGTCTGAAATAATCCACCATTTCCCGATCTACAGTCTTGTCCCGAAACAAAACCCAACATGGTCAACATCCACCTGGTGCCACACTCCCACGACGATGCTGGCTGGCTGAAGACCGTGGATCAGTACTACTATGGCCACAAGAACAGCATCCAGCATGCTGGTGTCCAGTACATCATCGACACTGTCGTCTCGGAGCTGATCAAGGATCCCAAGCGTCGCTTCATCCAGGTGGAGACTTCGTTCTTTGCCAAATGGTGGCAGGAACAGTCGGAGACTGTCAAGCAGGTGGTCAAGAAATTGGTGAACGAAGGTCGTCTGCAGTTCACTGGCGGAGCTTGGAGCATGAACGACGAGGCGGCAGTCAACTATCAGAGTGTAATCGATCAGTTTACGGTGGGATTGAAGTAAGTTTCAACGGAATTGTGCGCCTGGGTGTTACGTGGCTAAATGGAGACTGATCTTTAGGTTCCTTGATGAGACCTTCGGCGCCTGTGCCCGTCCCCGCGTGGGCTGGCAGATCGATCCCTTTGGGCATAGTCGCGAGCAGGCCTCACTGTACGCACAGATGGGCTACGATGGCGAGTTCTTCTCCCGCATGGATCACAACGATAAGGCCAAGCGCATGGAGGACCTCTCACTGGAAATGATTTGGGATGCCAGCGAGTCCTTGGGCGATGTGAAGCTCTTCACCGGTCTGCTCTACAGCCACTACTGGGAGACTCCCGGCTTCTGCTTCGACGTGCACTGCAATGACGATCCCATCATCGACGGAGACAGCTACGACAACAACGTCAAGTCGCGCGTGGATGACTTCATCGCCTATGCGGCCAAGGTCGCGGCAAAGTTCCGCACGACCCACATCATGGTACCCTTGGGTGGGGACTTCCAGTACGAAGATGCGCAAGTTAACTACAAGAACATGGACAAGCTGATCAAGTAAGAAGACTCCGGCTCCTTGAGACATAGTTGCTTCCCTGCTCAATCCACGATTCAATTTGTAGATATGTCAACCAACGCCAAGCCACTGGATCCCACTACAATATCTTTTACTCCACGCCCGCCTGCTACCTGAACTCTGTGCATCAAGGCCAACAGTCGTACCCCAACAAAACCCTGGACTTCTTCCCCTACGCCAGTGACTCCAACAGCTTCTGGACAGGATACTACACCTCCAGACCCACCCAGAAACGATTCGAGCGGGACGGAAACCACATACTCCAGACAGCCAAACAGCTCAGTGTCTTCGCGGGACTCTCGAGCGAGCAGCAGAAGGAGGATCTGAACTACCTCCGCCAGATAATGGGAGTGATGCAGCACCACGATGCCATCACCGGAACGGAGAAGCAGGCGGTGTCCAACGACTACGATCGCCTGCTCTACGACGGCATCATAGGAGGCGCCAGCAATGCCCGGGATGCCCTGCGAGTGCTGACCAACCTGCCGGAGGGGGAGTTCGAGAGCTGCCTGCAGCTGAACATCAGCGAGTGCGCCTTCACCAAGGACGGTGCGGACAATGTGGTGGTGACCCTGTTTAACCCATTGGCCCACACCTCCTCCCAGTATGTGCGAGTGCCCGTGAAGGAGGAGAGCTACCAGGTGACCGACGAGAAGGGACGCGTGGTGGCCTCTGAGGTAGTTCCAGTGGCCTGGCAGGTGCTGGCTCTGGAATACCGCCAGAACAACACTCAGCACGAGCTCGTGTTCCAGGCATCCGTGAACAAGATCGCCAGCTACTACATCAAGAAGGTCGTAAAGGCAGAAAGCAATGAAATTGTCCTGCCCAAGCCTGCCAAAAAGTCTGTGAAGCAAAACGAAGGGGACTTGGAGGTTCCCAAGCGGTTCAAGAAGGTCCATTCGATGAAGAAGGTTGAAACCCACGCCGATGAAGATGATTCCGAAACTGTGGTGCAGACGTCGCAGATCAAACTGGTGATCGACAATAATACGGGTCGCTTGAAGACCATTGAAATGAACGGAGTCAAGGAGAACATTGAACAGAACTTTGGAGTGTACGAAACTACGACCTCTGGTGCATACGTGTTCCGTGAGGTAGAGTCTACGGAGATACATCCCTTGAAAACAGACGTTGAGTTCACAGTATACAATGGATCTTTGGTGAAGGAAGTGCACCAGCAGTTCAGCGATTGGATCTCCCAGGTCATTCGCATCTACGAGGGTGTCAACCGGGTGGAGTTCGAGTGGCTGGTCGGACCTATTCCAACTGACGAGGATACTGGAAGGGAAATCGTCACAATCTTCTCGAGTGACATATCCTCGAATGGCGTCTTCTACACTGACTCCAATGGCCGCGAGATGATTGTACGAGCAAAGGACAAGCGCGAAGATTTCACACCCGACTTGGGCAAGCAGCCAACCAGTGGAAATTATTACCCAGTCGTCTCCCGCATTGCCCTGGAGGACAAAAGCAACCGAATGGCACTGCTCAACGATCGTGCCCAGGGTGGAACCAGCATGCAGGATGGACAGCTGGAGCTCATGCTGCATCGTCGTCTCATTCGGGACGATGGCTATGGAGTGAGTGAAGTCCTGAACGAGCAGAAGTACGACAAACCCCTCATTGCACGTGGAAAGGTCTACCTGATCCTCAACTCTGTGGAGGAATCGACGAAGGTGGAGCGTGTGGCCGAGAAGGAGATTCTTCTTCCCTTCTCCGTTTTCTTCAGCAAGGCAAGCAGTCAGAGCAGCAGCGCTGTGGCCAAGACGGTACCCAGCTTCGACGACTTCCCCCAGTCGGTGCATCTCCTCACCCTGGAGCCCTTCACCGATGACGAGATCCTGCTGCGCGTGGAGAACTTCCTGGATCACATCGAGGGCAAGGTGGTTAGCTTCAATATTCGCCCGATCTTCGATAGCTTGGGCGGTGTGGAGATCCGCGAGACCACATTGGATGGCAACCTGCCACTGAGCGAGATGAAGCGCTTTAAGTTCCATGCGGAAGGATCCGGTGCGTTGTCAACAGAGCCCGAGTACTACACATCTGCGCACAGGCCACTGGCTGCCAACAGTTCTCTGGAGGCCTCCGAGTTCAGCGTTACCCTGAACCCAATGCAAATTCGTACATTTATAATCAAAAAATATTAAATTAATAGAGTAATAGCTTGGAAATAAATAGATAAATAAAAATATATGACTTTTGAGAAAGGATACTTTTAAATTAGAGCTAATGATTATCAAGTTCTTGGAAGGTGTTTACAAATGCCAGTGCTGCCAGTTGATTTCGATTCCACTCTTTTGGTTCGTTCTCCCATAAAACCTGAACTTTTTACCTAATGAACTAAGTCAGAAGAATATAGAACTCTATATCGTATATATCTTTATCGTTTAAAATAGTTTTAAGACTAAACTTGGGCTGCTTTGAGTGATCATTTTAACTTTAGGTTCATAAACAATTGTGTTTGACTTTCGTCATGTCAGAAGAATACTTTTCTGATATATCCTTTTTTTCCTTCTACTCCCGCTACTCGAACAGTTTTTAAAATCTGACTGACTGAGTACCAGGTATACGCGTAGAGGCGCGGCTTTTGCCGCAGCTCACAAAATTCTCGCTCATTTTGTCATTTATTATTTGTTTAGTTTCTTTATTATTTATTTATATTTTTAGATTTTTTTATTAGTACTCCAGCTAGTACATTCTCATAAAAAAAAACTCTTATGCGCACTTGAGCAATCATCAGAGCCCCATTTAAATACTCGATAAGCAATGATAAGAACTGTAATTGGCAGTAGCACAGAAGTAACGAGTTCTGTTCCCCTTAAAAAGAGATTGATAAATACTGTTGAATCGAGATATTTTTAGAACGTATAACTGAAGTGCATCATCGAGGGAGTCATGCAAAAAATAAACATCAAAGACGCTACTTGAGTTTTATCAGTAAATTCAAGCTATAATACCCGGTACTTATGGTACCCATGAGGTCCAAGCGTTTTGCACACAATAAATAACAAAAATAATAATAAAGAAATATAAATATACATAAAATATGTCGAAAACAAGTTGCAAGTTGCGGGTGACTCTCCATCGACTCTTTTGCACAAATTTTTCTTGTGTCTCTGTTAAGAAAGAGTGAGATAGATCCAATTTCGCAATGACCTCTTCGGTGTGCTGAGTATCGACTTGTCGATACCCGCAGCAATAAAGCTCTTGTTCTTAGCTGGCTTATCACAGTGATCCTTATCTAGCCGTACCTGTGCCTATAAAACAGCAGGGTTGTGCTCAAAGAAAGTCAGTTCTCGCTTTAATTTGCTTTCAATTACTAGCAATGATTTATGTGGGCAGTATTCTGCTCCCGATCACATTACTGGTGATCTATCCACAGCATTGCGATGCTGTCTGTGGCTATGAGGTGAGTAAACAATTGTGAGGAAACGCAGAGCTCAATCTCAAAGGTCCTGTGTCCTGCAGTCATGTCCCGAAACAAAGCCGAATATGGTGAACATCCACCTGGTGCCACACTCCCACGACGATGTCGGTTGGCTCAAGACGGCGGATCAGTCGTATTATGGCTACAAGAATAACATCCACCATGCTGGTGTCCAGTACATTTTGGATACGGTTGTGATGGAGCTCATCAGGGATCCGAAGCGACGCTTCATACAGGTGGAGACCTACTTCTTTGCCAAGTGGTGGAGGGAACAGTCGGAGACCATGCGGCAAATTGTCACCAAATTGGTCAACGAAGGACGCTTTGAGTTCACGGGCGGAGGCTGGAGCATGAACGATGAGGCAGCAGTCAACTACCAGGGTGTGATCGATCAGTTTACGGTGGGATTGAAGTAAGTGAAACTTTGGGTGTAAACTTCATTAGATAATCATCGCTGTGGATAGGTTTCTGAACGAGACATTCGGTGCTTGTGCCCGTCCTCGGGTTGGCTGGCAGATCGATACTTTTGGCCATTCCCGCGAACAGGCGGCGATATTTGCACAGATGGGCTACGACGGACAGTTCTTCTCCCGCATGGATCACAACGATAAGGACAAGCGTCTGGAGAGTCTGTCCATGGAAATGATTTGGGATGCCAGCGAGTCCTTGAGCTCTGATGTGAACCTCTTCACCGGCATGCTGTACAATTTCTACTCCGATACACCCGGCTTCTGCTTTGATGTCCTCTGCACCGATGACCCCATTATCGATGGCAAGAGCTACGACAACAATGTCGAGTCCAGGGTGGATGATTTCATTAGCTATGCGGCAACTGTCTCGAAGCACTATCTAACGAATCACATCATGATCCCAATGGGTGGCGATTTTCAGTACGAGGATGCCAAAGTTAACTACAAAAACATGGACAAGCTGATCAAGTAAGTGCCTGCCTGAGTATTTGTACCTAAAAATCCATTGCTGACCATTTGGCATCGCAAAGGTATTTAAACGCACGACAGGCGAATGGCAGCAAGTACAACATCTTCTACTCCACGCCGAGCTGCTATCTCAGCGCTCTGCATCAGAGTCTGCAGACGTGGCCCAACAAAACCCAGGACTTCTTTCCCTATGCCCATGAGCCGAACAGCTTCTGGACCGGCTACTACACCTCCCGACCCACCCAGAAGCGCTTCGAGCGGGATGGCAACCACATGCTGCAGACAGCCAAGCAGCTCAGTGTCTTCGCCGGACACTCGAGCGAGCAGCAGAAGGAGGATCTGAACTACCTCCGCCAGATAATGGGAGTGATGCAGCACCACGATGCCATCACTGGCACAGAACGACAGGCCGTATCGAATGACTACGATCGATTGATGTATGATGCCATTATAGGAGCGGCCAACAGTGCCCGGGATGCCCTGCGAGTGCTGACCAACCTGCCGGAGGGTGAGTTCGAGAGCTGCCTGCAGCTGAACATCAGCGAGTGCGCCTTCACCAAGGACGGTGCGGACAATGTGGTGGTGACCCTGTTCAACCCATTGGCCCATAACTCCACCCAGTATGTGCGAGTGCCCGTGAAGGAGGAAAGCTATAAAGTCACCGATGAGAAGGGCGATGAAGTCGCTTCAGAAATAGTGCCAGTTCCCTGGCAGGTCCTGGCACTGGCGCATCGTGCCAATGATACCCAACATGAGTTGATTTTCAAGGCCACCTTGAATAAGATCGCCAGCTACTACATCGAGAAGATCGACAAGACAGAGAACAAAAAGAGTCATATGACAGAGAGGGTTGAGGATTCCGATACTGTGGTTCAAAATTCGGTAAGAAAAGCCAACAAAATTCTTAGATAAATTTAAAACTCACCAGAAAATGCCTAAATCCCACACACACACAGCTCATCAAGTTGGTGATAGACAAGAAATCTGGTCGCTTGAAGACAGTGGAGATGAACGGAGTCACGGAGAACATTGAGCAGAACTTTGGGGTGTACAAGACTCGCGCCTCCTGTGCCTACACTTTCCGTCAGGAGGGGGACATTGAAGTCGTGCAGGATGCTGTTGGGTTCACAGTGTACGACGGGGCTTCGGTCAAGGAAGTCCATCAGCAGGTGAACGAGTGGATCTCTCAGGTCATCCGCATCTATGAGGGTGTCAACCGGGTGGAGTTTGAATGGCTGATCGGACCCATACCCATTGTGGACAACGTGGGCATGGAGATTGTGACCAACTTCCGCAGTGGAATCTCATCCAATGGCGTCTTCTACACCGACTCCAATGGCCGTGAGTTGATGAGGCGAGAGAAGGACAAGCGGGAGGACTTTGACTCAGACTTGAGCCATCAACCGATTAGCGGCAACTTTTATCCAGTCACCTCCCGCATTGCTCTGCAGGACAATGAAAAGCGCTTGGTCCTGCTCAATGATCGTGCTCAGGGCGGGGCCAGCTTGGCGAACGGACAGCTGGAAATGCTGCTGCATCGTCGTCTGATGTTCAATGACGGTGGTGGCGTTGGCGAAGCTCTCAATGAAGAACAGTATGGCAAGGGTCTGATTGCACGTGGAAAACTATTTCTAGTCCTCAACTCAATCAAAAAAGGAAATACTCTAGCTGAACGTCTCGCAGAGAAGGAGCTTCATCTGCCCTTTTACAAGTTCTTCAGCAAGGGCAGCAGTGGAAGCACCACTGCTATTCCTATTCCCCATTCAATAACCGATTTCAATGACTTCCCCAAGTCGGTGCATCTTCTCACCCTGGAGCCCTTCACCGATGATGAGATCCTGTTGCGCGTGGAGAACTTCCTGGATCACATCGAGGGCAAGGTGGTTAGCTTCAACATTCGGCAGATCTTTGATAGCTTGGGCGGTGTAGAGATTCGCGAAACCACCTTGGATGGCAACCTGCCACTGAGCCAGATGAAGCGGTTCAAGTTCCCAGCGAAGGCATCTGGCAGTTTGCCACCAACTGTTGTCGAGTACTCCACGGTTGAATACCAGCCCCTGCAGGCGGATAAACTCCAGGAGGGATCAGAGTTTATTGTAACTCTGAACCCAATGCAAATACGTACTTTCATTATTAAAAGAGAACTATAAAATATATTTATTGCTTGGCTTTCCGTTTCCCACTGATAAGAGCTCTGATTGCCTGGAAACTTCAAGTAGTAAAAATTCATAAAAGTTTTCTTTAATCGCAAGTGGCATTTATCAATTAAAATCCATTTAAAATAATCAATTAATCCATAAGCAATTGTTTTTTTTTTTTTATTATTTATTTTGAAAAACAAGCTTATATATAAGCTATTATAATCAGGTTATACATTTAGAGGAAAAAATGTTCGCGTTTTGAAAATAATATATACAGGACACAGTTTTCTTGTGAACCTTAACAAAAGTTTCTAATCAACAGTAACAGTACGTTCAGTAATTTCACATTATTGTATGTGCTTGGAGTGCATATTTTTATATGGGGCTTAGGCACTGGCACACAGAAAAATTGATAGCCAATTGATTACGCTCCACACTGCATGGGGCCATCACTTGGCCATTTTTTTGGTTATCATTTGCTTTCACTTACTCTAGTACTCACAGCTTATCAACTCTTTACAAAAATACATCTCACAGGAGGGTGCAAATTAGTTGTAGACTCTACTACGTGCTATGAAATTCTCACGCCGCAATGAAGAATTTTTTCGGCATTATTATTATATTTCTAATATTTTTGGCAATCAAAACCTCCGAAGCTGCCTGTAATTATGAGGTGAGGAGAGAGAGTGACTAAACCCGGTTTGCTTCAACAATTAATCGCTCGTCTTGCAGTCGTGTCCCGAAACAAAACCCAACATGGTGAACATCCACCTGGTGCCACACTCGCACAATGATGTTGGCTGGCTCAAGACGGTGGATCAGTATTACTATGGCAATGCAAGCGAAATCCAGCGTGCTAGTGTCCAGAACATCATCGACACAGTCGTCTCGCAGCTGATCAAGGATCATAAGCGTCGCTTTATCCAGGTGGAGACTTCGTTCTTTGCCAAATGGTGGCAGGAACAGCTTGAGACTGTCAAGCTGGTGGTCAAGAAATTGGTGAACGAGGGACGCTTTGAGTTCACGGGCGGAGCTTGGAGCATGAACGACGAGGCGGCAGTCAACTATCAGAGTGTGATCGATCAGTTTACCTTGGGGCTAAAGTAAGTTTCCATTGGCTGAGAAAGAAACACATCAAAAGATATATTTTAGATGGTTGGATGAGACTTTTGGGGTCTGTGCCCGTCCCCGCATTGGCTGGCAGATCGATGCCTTTGGTCATTCCCGTGAGCAGGCCTCGATCTTCGCCCAAATGGGCTACGATGGACAGTTCTTTGCCCGCATGGATCACAGCGATAGGAACAATCGATTGGATAATCTGGCCATGGAAATGATTTGGAATGCCAGCGAGTCGCTGGATCAAATGGAACTCTTCACCGGAATGCTGTACAACCACTACAAGAATCCTCCTGGTTTTTGCTTTGATTTTCTGTGCCACGATCCCACCCATTATTGATGGCAGCAGGTACGACAACAATGTGGAGGCCAGGGTGCATGATTTTATCATATGGGCCCAAGAGCTGGAAGTGCATTACCGCTCGGATCACATCATGGTACCAATGGGGGATGATTTCCATTATGAAAATGCCCAGAGCAACTTTAAAAATATGGACAAACTGATTAAGTGAGTATTCCTGCCAGTAATCCTCGAGCCAGCATATCTTCCAACTGTCCCACCCACAAAGATATGTCAACCAGCTTCAGTTCAAGTACCATGTGTTCTACTCAACCCCAGGATGCTATCTGAATGCCTTGCATCAGACCCTTGCCACATGGCCCAACAAGACGCAGGACTTCTTCCCCTACGCCAGTGGCTCCAACAGCTTCTGGACCGGCTACTACACCTCCCGACCCACCCAGAAGCGCTTCGAGCGGGATGGCAACCACATACTCCAGACAGCCAAACAGCTCAGTGTCTTCGCGGGACTCTCGAGCGAGCAGCAGAAGGAGGATCTGAACTACCTCCGCCAGATAATGGGAGTGATGCAGCACCACGATGCCATCACTGGCACATCGAAGCAGGCGGTGTCCAACGACTACGATCGCCTGCTCTACGAGGGCATCATCGGAGGAGCCGGCAATGCCCGGGATGCCCTGCGAGTGCTGACCAACCTGCCGGAGGGGGAGTTCGAGAGCTGCCTGCAGCTGAACATCAGCGAGTGCGCCTTCACCAAGGACGGTGCGGACAATGTGGTGGTGACCCTGTTCAACCCATTGGCCCACACCTCCTCCCAGTATGTGCGAGTGCCCGTGAAGGAGGAGAGCTACCAGGTGACGGACGAGAAAGGACGCGTGGTCCCCTCTGAAGTGGTTCCAGTGGCCTGGCAGGTGCTGGCTCTGGGATACCGCCAGAACAGCACTCAGCACGAGCTCGTGTTCCAGGCATCCGTAGAAAAGATCGCCAGCTACTACATCAAGAAGGTCGACAAGCCAGAAAGCAAGGAAATTGTCCTGCCAAAGGCTGCCGAAAAGTCTGTGAAGCAAAACGAAAAGAACTTGGAGGTGCCCAAGCGGTTCAAGAAGGTCCATTCGATGAAGAAGGTTGAAACCCACGCCGATGAAGATGATTCCGAAACTGTGGTGCAGACGTCGCAGATCAAACTGGTGATCGATAATAACACGGGTCGCCTGAAGACCATTGAGATGAACGGAGTCACCGAGAATATTGACCAGAACTTCGCCATTTACGAAACGTTGGAACTCTGGAGCTTACGTGTTCCGTCAAAAGGAAGACGTAGAGATGCAATTCTTGGAAGACAAAGTGGAGTTCACAGTTTACGATGGATCTTTGGTCAAGGAAGTGCACCAGCAGTTCAGCGAATGGATCTCCCAGGTCATTCGCATCTACGAGGGTGTCAACCGGGTGGAGTTCGAGTGGCTGGTCGGACCTATTCCGACCGACGAGGATACTGGAAGGGAAATCGTCACAATCTTCTCGAGTGGCATATCCTCGAATGGCGTCTTCTACACCGACTCCAATGGTCGCGAGATGATTGTACGAGCAAAGGACAAGCGCGAAGATTTCACACCCGACTTGGGGGAGCAGCCAACCAGTGGAAATTATTACCCAGTCGTCTCCCGCATTGCCCTGGAGGGCAAAAGCAACCGAATGGCACTACTGAACGATCGTGCCCAGGGTGGAACCAGCATGAAGGATGGACAGCTGGAGCTCATGCTGCATCGTCGTCTCATTCGGGACGATGGCTATGGAGTGGGAGAAGCCCTGAACGAGCAGAAGTACGACAAGCCCCTCATTGCGCGTGGAAAGATCTACCTGATTCTCAACTCTGTGGAGGAATCGACGAAGGTGGAGCGTCTGGCCGAGAAGGAGATTCTTCTTCCCTTCTCCGTTTTCTTCAGCAAGGCAAGCAGTCAGAGTAGCAGCGCTGTGGCAAAGACGGTGCCCAGCTTCGACGACTTCCCCCAGTCGGTGCATCTCCTCACCCTGGAGCCCTTCACCGATGACGAGATCCTGCTGCGCGTGGAGAACTTCCTGGATCACACCGAGGGTAATGTGGTTAGCTTCAACATTCGGTCCATTTTCGATGCTTTGGGAGGTGTGGAGATCCGCGAGACCACTTTGGATGGCAACCTGCCACTGAGCGAGATGAAGCGCTTCAAGTTCCACCACGATGCCTCTGGCCCCAGTCCCGCAGAGGTGGAGTACTTCACGACGGCCCACAAGCCTCTGGCTGCGACTGAGTCGCAGGAAGCATCGGACTTCAGCGTCACCCTGCACCCAATGCAAATTCGCACTTTCATCATCAAGAAGAAGTAGTTCAGAGTTCCTCATTATGCAGTAAAATTGTGAAATGTTTACAGTAAACAGAAGAACGATCTATACATACATAAATATAAAAATCTCGTGTTACTGTGCTTGTGATTGAACTCCTTCCAAACGGCTCGACCGATTCTTATGCAATTTTTGTTGCATATTAAGTAGATATGCGAATAGGTCGTTAATTATTTTTTATCGTTTTACCACAAGTCACTATTTTTTAATCGCAATTTTTTTTGTGTTTTTATATTAAGTAATTGTTTGATTTATTTGTCAGTGTGGTTTTTCGTTTTTTTGTGCATTTGTGTGTGTGTTTCAGTAAACAATTCCAGCAAGACGCAAGGGCGCCCAATTATACTGTCTAAAAAATAATGCAACATTCATACGACATAGTAGAGCAGAAAAAAAAAGGCTGATAAACCAAAAACAAAAAAATAATAACGAAAATGTGCGTGTGAGCATGTCGCGATTGCCTGAATCCCAGTCAAAAGCGGTACAACATGAACGAAATCTACATAAGCCTTTAACATAAGCTCATCAGGAGAAGTGCTACTGCCTGAAACTGAGACCAGAACCCCTTGAGCGGGTTGCTTATCGGTAGGGATCCAGACTAAAACGTGTTTCTTAAGTCCCTTTGCAAATTCAATTTATGTTTCCAAATGACATCGTACGGAACAACAGAAATAGACAACAATAATGCAATTCAACATTTAAAATCAACATTCCAATAATTATTAATTAAAGGTTTTGTAATTTTTTATTTTATTTTTTTTATTCCTAGTGCTACAAGTATAACTTATTTTTAATGCACTAGTCAATAATTGTATAATTAATTACTTATTTTGTATGCTGTAAATATGTTTTATGATTATCGGTTTATTTTAATATATTTCCTGAATCGCGTTAAGTTTTATTTGTAAAAATCTGCCGTAATAGGAAATAGGAAGGAAGTAGGAAAGAAGAATATTATTATTTCAAAGTTCATCCAGATCGTCCAAGTGCCCGTTGCTTATCAACTCTCAGTTGTGTTCTGTTTTCATAACACTAAAAAGGCAAATTACATATGTGTGAAATTTAGTTGTGGGCTGGAGTTCGAGCCTTCTATTTCTTAGAGTCGTGTAGATCCCTTGTTTATTTGGTCACAATGAAGTATTTCGGCTGTATTTTCATATTTGTTTTACTGTTGGCAATCGACACTAAACCAACTGAGGCTGTCTGTGGCTATGAGGTGATTGAGAGCGCTGACTTTTCCATATCCAAATGGTCTGAAATAATCAACCATCTCCCGACCTACAGTCTTGTCCCGAAACAAAACCCAACATGGTCAACATCCACCTGGTGCCACACTCCCATGACGATGCTGGCTGGCTGAAGACCGTGGATCAGTACTACTATGGCCACAAGAACAGAATCCAGCATGCTGGTGTCCAGTACATTATCGACACTGTCGTCTCGGAGTTGATTAAGGATCCCAAGCGTCGCTTTATCCAGGTGGAGACTTTGTTCTTTGCCAAATGGTGGCAGGAACAGTCGGAGGAAGCGCAGCAAAGTGTCAAGATATTGGTCAACGAAGGTCGCCTGCAGTTCACGGGCGGAGCTTGGAGCATGAACGACGAGGCGGCAGTCAACTATCAGAGTGTGATCGATCAGTTTACCTTGGGGCTAAAGTAAGTTTCCATTGGCTGAGAAAGAAACACATGAAAAGATATATTTTAGATGGTTGGATGAGACTTTTGGCGCCTGTGCCCGTCCCCGCATTGGCTGGCAGATCGATGCCTTTGGTCATTCCCGTGAGCAGGCCTCGATCTTCGCCCAAATGGGCTACGATGGACAGTTCTTTGCCCGCATGGATCACAGCGATAAGATCAATCGATTGGATACTCTGGCCATGGAAATGATTTGGAACGCCAGCGAGTCGCTGGATCAAATGGAACTCTTTACCGGAATGCTGTACAACCACTACAAGAATCCTCCTGGCTTTTGCTTTGACTTGCTGTGCCAGGACCCACCCATTATTGATGGCAGCAGGTACGACAACAATGTGGAGGCCAGGGTGCATGATTATATCATATGGGCCCAAGAGCTGGAAAGGCACTACCGCTCAAATCACATCATGGTGCCAATGGGGGATGATTTCCATTATGAATATGCCCAGAGAAACTTTAAAAATATGGACAAACTGATTAAGTGAGTATTCCTGCCAGTAATCCTCGAGCCAGTATATCTTCCAACTGTCCCACCCACAAAGATATGTCAACCAGCTTCAGTTCAAGTACCATGTCTTCTACTCAACCCCAGGATGCTATCTAAATGCCTTGCATCAGACCCTTGCCACATGGCCCAACAAGACGCAGGACTTCTTCCCCTACGCCAATGACTCCAACAGCTTCTGGACCGGCTACTACACCTCTCGACCCACCCAGAAGCGCTTCGAACGCGATGGCAACCACATGCTGCAGACGGCCAAGCAGCTCAGTGTCTTCGCCGGACTCTCGAGCGAGCAGCAGAAGAAGGATCTGGACAAGCTCCGACAGATAATGGGAGTGATGCAGCACCACTATGCCATCACCGGAACGGAGAAGCAGGCGGTGTCCAACGACTACGATCGCCTGCTCTACGAGGGCATCATCGGAGGAGCCGGCAATGCCCGGGATGCCCTGCGAGTGCTGACCAACCTGCCGGAGGGGGAGTTCGAGAGCTGCCTGCAGCTGAACATCAGCGAGTGCGCCTTCACCAAGGACGGTGCGGACAATGTGGTGGTGACCCTGTTCAACCCATTGGCCCACACCTCCTCCCAGTATGTGCGAGTGCCCGTGAAGGAGGAGAGCTACCAGGTGACGGACGAGAAGGGACGCGTGGTGGCCTCTGAAGTAGTTCCAGTGGCCTGGCAGGTGCTGGCTCTGGGATACCGCCAGAACAGCACTCAGCACGACCTCGTGTTCAAGGCATCCGTGAATAAGATCGCCAGCTACTACATCAAGAAGGTCGTAAAGGCTGAGAGAGACAACGAAATTGTATGGCACAAGAAATTGAAAGAAGTTGAAACCCACGCCGAAGAAGATGATTCCGAAACTGTGGTGCAAACGTCGCAGATCAAACTGGTGATCGACAATAATTCGGGACGCTTGAAGAAAGTTGAGATGAACGGAGTCTCGGAGAACATTGAGCAGAACTTTGGAGAGTACGTTTCGAAACGATCGAGCCAGTATATTTTCTCTGAGGGTGAACCTTTGAATGTGCTGACAGCCGATGTAAAGTTCGTCGTATATGATGGGGATTTGGTGAAGGAAGTGCACCAGCAGTTCAACGAATGGATCTCCCAGGTCATTCGTATCTCTGAGGGTGTCAATCGTGTAGAGTTTGAATGGCTAATTGGTCCTGTCAACAAAGAGATCGTCACAATCTTTGATAGTGAAATCTCATCGAATGGCGTCTTCTATACTGACTCCAATGGTCGCGAGATCATCAAGCGTGTAAAGGACAAGCGCGAGGATTTCACACCCGACTTGGAGAATGAACCGACGAGCGGCAACTATTATCCAGTCACATCTCGCATTTACCTGCAGGATAATGCGAAGCGAATGGTCCTACTGAACGATCGGTCTCAGGGCGGAACAAGCATAGTTGACGGACAGCTGGAGCTCATGCTGAACCGCCCTATCTATACCACTAATATCTTTGGTAATGTCGCACACTTTCAGCTCCGTTCAGTACCTTTTGCACGTGGAAAAGTGTTTCTCATGCTCAATGCAGTCTCAAAAGAAAGTACTTTTGCTGAGCGTCTGGCCGAAAAGGAGATTCATTTGCCCTTTTGGAAGTTCTTCAGCAGTTACAGCAACGTGAACCGCAATGCTGCTGTTAAATCATTTCCCGACTTTAATTTCTTGCCGCGGTCGGTGCATTTGCTTACCCTGGAGCCCTTTACCGAGCATGAGATTCTGCTGCGCCTGGAGAACTTCGTGGATGACTTGGCAGCAGAGGCTGTTCGCTTCAACATTCGCCCCATATTCGATGGCTTGGGCGGTGTGGAGATTCGCGAGACCACCTTGGATGGCAATCTGCCACTGAGCGAAATGAAACGCATGAAATTCCAACACGATGCTGCAGGCTCAAGGCCCAAAACAGCCGAGTACTTTACAGCGCAGCACAAGCCCTTGTCGGCGCATAAGTCACAGGAGGCCTCCGAGTTCAGTGTCAGCCTGAAGCCCATGCAAATTCGCACATTTATCATACGAAAGTAGATTTAGTAGATTTAATTGAACTCCAGTGCCAATGATTGTGTAAAACATGGCAGATAAATTTTTGTTGCAACAGCTAATAATTAAAATACAAAAATTGGAATAGTGGATGCCAAGCTTAAGGGCTGGCAATGCGGACACATTTGCTGCATTGAGTAAGTAAACAGGGACAGGGGACAAGCAGACAACACCACAAAATCCCCACTGCCACTGCCATAAGTCCTTTTGGTTATTTGGTGACCCCGTCCTGCCATACGTCCCTTTGATTATTTGGTGACCCCGACGCTCCGTTCGCTTCCCAGCTATAGCTGGTTTATATATAGTATATCTATAGCCCTTGTGTGTCTGTGGCTACACATATAAACGATGGCTGTATGCGATAGCTGTATCCTTGCTGCTGCTCCTGGCTGCTGTTCTAATGCTGCTAATGTCTAGCACTCGAAAAAAGATTTGCGCCTCTACCTACATACAAAATACTTTTGTGCCATCATCCACATCATACACTCACTCATACGTACTCGTATAAGGATTGCTGCTGGAGCGAGCGAATCGTTGCAGGACTTTGGTCCCTGGGCTTTTATTATTAAGTTCGCCACGGGAGACTTTAATCTGTGGCTGCTCCTGCTTGGGACAGGAGACGACCACCACCCGGCACTCTGCCACTCTTCTGCTCTCTGCACTGCGATGCAAAACAATGAGCTAGCGAATTCATGCCATATGTGTGTACGTCCTGTGAGCAGCCTCTGGTTTTTGGGCGATGGGTAAAAATTATTTAATATTACCCGTCTTAGGCAATGAGGCGGAGCGAGGCGAGGCGAGGGCCAGGCAGGGCCCAATCGAGGCTGTTGAGGCGTTGTTTGGTCCTAATCCTTGTGCGAGTATTAGACATGGAATTTAATTTAGTTTCAGCTGCAGCTTTGGGCATGAGCAGAACCTGCAGAACCCTGCCCTGGCCTGGCCATATGTGTGCCAAGTGCCCCATGCTGTTGCCGGTTGCCGCACTGTCAAACTTTTGCTTTGCCGACTTTCGGTCGAGTTGGCGCTTTTAATTCAAAGGAAATACACACCACACCCCACTTGCCACACTCTTTGCTGCCACTCCCACTGTTTACTTTCTGAGCTGCAGATAATCCAACTTTGATTAAGTAATTTCAGCATCGGGGGCCCCACAACCAGACCCAGAACGTAATAAGTTGGGTGTTGAAAATCCTACGACTCAGTCATATTCCCATGTGTGTGGGAGTGGGAGTGGGCGTGAGCGTGGGCGTGGCTCAGGGCAGAACACAAAAAGAAACCGACACCAACCCCCCACCCCATCCAGTGCCGAATGGGTAAGACAATGCCTGCCTGGATGGCATTCCATTTGAACGGACTCCTGCTGCTGTTTGTTTTCGAGCTGGCTGCATTTTTCGGGCGGAGTTCTCCAGCGGAGTTGTCCTGCAATTACCATAATAACGTGTTAACGTGTGGACTTTTTGCATAATTGATTGGCATTTCAATTGACAATCGAAAAAATATGACAAAATTTGTCTGAAATATGTGAAATTTGTGCGCCCATTTGTTGTTTGTTTTATGCCAAACAAAAAAAAGTCACAGAGTTCAAACGGGAAGCACAAAAGACAACGAAGCCGGGGGGCATTCATTTTATGCCAAAAAAAAAAAGGTGGAGTAAAAAAAGAGGCAACGTTGAAAAACAATGGACAAATGGCAAAACTAAGCGGCTAAACAAATATCGAGCCATCGAGCATAAATCCTCTCACTAAAACGCGCACTCGACAACTCAATAATACCAACGACTACGAACACAAAAAAAAAAAAAAATAAGGGGGACAACGTGTGCTTTTTGGCACTTCAAATACAGAAATACAGGAGGGAACTGCAGTCGGCTTATAGACAATCGACCAGAGGCGAGGCCCCCCCACAGGCGACCCCAAACGACCCATACGAAGCGGTAAATTGTGGACAAGTCTCTCTGTGTGTGTGTGTGTCATTTTAATCAACGGCAACATGCACACAGCAGATTATCCGACAGCTAAACAACACCCGGGCATACCCTCGAGCCCCGAACGATGTGTCAATGAATGGCAAAGCGTTTCGCTTTGACAATTGCCACTGACTGCCATCCTTACTCCGCACATAACAATTAAATGCGCAGTGAGAGGGCCCAGGCCCAGGCCCAAGCCCAAGCCTACTTAGGGTCTATAAAAATCCGCACACACATAATGCTTTTCATACATATTGTATATGGAAGAGTGCGAGTACGAGTACGAGGTATATATTCACGTTTTTCCAAGCGTTTGCGAATTTATTGAACCGCAACAAATGTCATTGATGTCATCATCATCTGCCACTGCAACAGCATCATCATCAGCATCATCATGGGACTTCGACAAGCGTATCCGAATCTCTTCTTTTTTTTTTTATTAGCAACAAGTTTTTAATATCGCAGCAGGAGAGCTCAATATCCAACGGAGGTAGAGACACCATAAAAATGCCTCAAACTTACAACAATAGCGCCCCAGTCTATCTATGTAGCTATGCTGCCTTCCACTCTCTCTCCTCGCTCTATCTGCCTTTAGCTATACCCCCTCCTCACAGATAAAGAGAGAGCATCCCTCAGCGAATGCCGATTTTATAAGAATTTAATATGCGCCACGTATTTTGATGTTTGAGGATGTGTTTCGGTTTATTTCTATTCTTTCCTTCTTTTTGCGCTGTGCCTTTAAATCATTCACAGTGAGTTGGGGCTGAGCAGTTGAACAGATGAGTTCGATTTAAAATTTTTAAATGTATTAAATAAAATATATTATAAGTATTATTATTACTTAATATATTTTTATTATAAAAGTAAATATTAAATATATTTCAATATGAATTATTTTTTCTCCTTAATATTTTATAAAAACAAAAATAAATAAAATCCTTATTAATAAATATTTTTATTCATATTTCAAAAATAAATAAAATCCTTATTACTAAATATTATTATTCATATTTATTAATATGGATTTTATATATATTTATTTATTTATTTTATTTATATATTAATAAACATTATTATTCATATTTATTAATATGGACTTTTATTAATTTTTTTTATTTTTTTTATAAAGATTGATTCAAATTCATTGAAAATTTCACACAATCAAATCAGCAATAAAATGCACACTCAATATTCATGTAGTCTAGGAAGATTTCTTTGAATTGCCATGGAAATTTCTATCTCAAAACTCAATGTACATGATCATTTACTTCACTACCGTCCAATCTTTCAACAATCTCGACGTTTTCTTCATTACATCATAACGATTATGAAATAAATACTTCCGTTTCTTTGAGACATTTCGCGCGGGAATGGTATGGGAGGGATTTCGGGATGTGCGACTCCTGCTCCTGCTGCTGCTGCTGCTCCTCTCCGCTTGGTGATTTTCCATAGAGAAGAAATAAATCAACTGCATGTCCTGTTCCTGGCGATTGTCGGGAGGGAGACTGCTGCCATGTATTTATTGTTACGTTTTTAAGTTTGGAATTTTTAATTTATGGCGCATCCTTCATTGTTGAAAGTTATAATTCTTTCTTGCTGGCTTCGGAGGGGCCAGGGCCTGCTTAAGGAATAAAATATATTTGCCAGAGAGAGAGAGAGAGAGCGAGAGAGAGTCTCAAAAATTATGATGTATGTGCAATAAATAATCCCAAATAAATAAATTATCACCGAGTAGTTTTCAGGGAAAAGGTGAAACCTCTGCCGAGTGGCGAAACTAATAGATGCCCGGGATGGGACCATTCCTAGATGCAGAAGTATTCCCTTTGATTTGTTGTTTCCCTGGCGGTTTTACACATTTACAAGGGTGCTAATGTTAGTTTTGTGCACGGGTTTCTCTCTATTTTTTTTTGTATTTCTCCGGTTGTGTTCCTTTGGCAATCCTTTTGGCTGGGGCGGTCATAAATCAAGGCTTGATTTGGCGCCTCGCATGTGTCCGTGCCACGGCCTTTGTCTATTTGCCTAGCACACGGCACATCCCTTTGTTTTAATGCGCCAAATATACTCGTACTCGTACACGTACTCGTCCTTGGCATCGTTGACTCCTTCTGCCTCTTGCCTGCCAACTCACATTTTTGTAGAGATTTTTTTCTTGCCTTTTTTGCGCTCTGTTTTAGCTTTGGGGGTTAACCCTTTTAACCCTTGGCAACCGAATGCTGTCGCTACGGTTAACCACGGCGACAGCGTTAGCCTGACATTTTTCCAGGACATATTGCCACGACACTGAGGTCAACCTTTTTCGTGTTCATTGGCTGGCTGAATGGGCATCCGAATCCACTGAGCCCTGGCTGGTACATGTTCTGGCCATTAGAATTATTTGCTTATATTCCTTTCCTTTTTTTTTGGGGCCAACTATAGCAATTTAAATTAATTTAAAAAGTATTTTGTTTAATAGAAAGCTAACAATGTGAGCACATGTCTTGGGAATTGAAGTAGCATTTAATTTAATTATTTTAAGGGAAGCTCTTTCTCTTTTTTAAGATATTTATTTCTTCAGAATGTTTAACTAATTCTAAAAAAATTTATTTTAAAATATTCATCTATAAATTATTCATCTTGAGTAGCTAATTGTACAGAATCTTTTCTTAGGGCGCGTCTACATCCTGAAACGATGACAAAATCGTAGATTTCTAGAATGCTAAGGTCTGATGCGGATTAATTAAGAACTCTGCATAGATCCGTTGTATTATTTTCCCTACAAAAATAGTTCCTTGAGCCTAACAGCTGCAACCGTGGGCTTTCTTCTCTAGAAAATTGTGATATATATATATCGGGCGTATTTTGATCTCAACAAATTTTGTATTGCATAGAATGATATAGATATGGATATGCTATAGATATGCAGCACCCTCTTGGCTTGACCTCGTACCTCTCATTGGCTAGAAGGTGCAGCAGGGTCAGGGGCATGGGCCCGAGATGGGAAAGAGGAGAAGGTAGAGGTGTGTGGTAGGGGCAGCATTTTGCCGTTACTGTCTTTGTCGCAATGTCGTAAATAAAGTCGGGGCATGTAGCCTCGGCGTACATTGGAATTTATGCGCGTTGATTTATTTTCTGTTAGCGATTTATTG